GGGGGACTAGTTGGGGGGATTGGGGGGCTGTTGGGGGGTGTGGGTGCACATTGTTCGGGGTTTTTGGACACTTTGGAGAGCACTGGCCCCGAAATAACACAAGTGATAACGAGAGACCCGAGGGGAGCCAGCGATTGAGGCCAGCTGGGAAGTAGAGCGTTTCGCGCGACTGCAGCGACACTCGGGGGTCTGGGGGGAATCAATGGTAGGGGGCGGGGAGGAGCGTGTGGGGAGGTTTAGGGGTCTATGCTGGCGAGGGTTGGAGAGGAGTCGAAATGTCTTTTAACTGTATTAAAGAGATTACATCAATTTTTTAGTTAGAATAACACGACTGGACGAGGGCCCGAGAAAGCTGAAATAATTCAGCGAAACGTCGCTTCTTCTGACAATTTAATCAATTTTATTCTCCCACATCCCCTCATTCCTTCACTTTTTTTCGATGCTCTGGAGACGGTGGAGACCATCAATTGTCTTTCAACATTTTTCGCAGAATTTATTCCTCAGTTATGCAGTACGAAAATTATTGATGAATGCAGAGACATTTTCGGGGATATCTCAGAAATAAATGGATATTTCGGGAAATGTCAGAAGACATTTTTTGTGGAGAATTTAATTTCCAGGAGAAAAAGTGATTTGGGATTTTTTGGTAGACTCAACGGTTGCTGAGATATTCGCGAAATAAACTCGATTTTTTTCTTTCACTCCGGAAGACGAGGGCTGGAGGGAAGAAGCGCGATTGGATTTTCGAGCCGAGGGTTCCCGAGGCCTTCCGGAGGCTCTCGATTCATCGTTGCGCTAATTCCTTCGGAGTTATTCCCTGGAGTGTCTCTCCCTTCGGCTCCCACGTATTATAACCTTGTTACCCCCACAATTTCTGTGTCAACTTTAGTCGAGCCATTTCCATTGATTTGTTCCTTTATTTTATTCGTTCGTTTTCCTTGTGTTGAAGTCGACATGGCGAAGAACCAAGTGACGAGTTGGACAGGTAAAAAATTTAATCGTCAACTCGAGGATCGTTGACTGATGAAAAAATTAAATCCCGACATTTCGATGAATTTTGTTTATTTATTGTTGCCCGCAGAGGCGAGGGACCAACTGCGGACCTGGAGGGAGAATTCTGACCGAAAGAGTCGGGAAATCGTCGCTCTCTGGGACTCCGTGCTGATGAGCAAAGTGGAGAACCTCGGGAACGAGAGTAATTACAAAATATTCAGACGAATATTCTTTTTGGAGTTCTTCAAACGCCGATATCTCGAGATCGGCAGGGTCAAATCGATCGATTTCCTTTCCCATTTTCGAGGGCTCTTTTCGAGCTTCAAAATGAGACGTGACTCGTCCAAATCGCATCATTTGATCGGGAGATATCGAAGATTGAAGAGAATCCATTTTTAATCGAATCGTAATTCATTGATCTTTTGTTTATTTATCTTCTGCACTGGGTCAGTCGTGTTGTGCATTAATATGGCGACATTCCACGTCGTCAGCATGACCCTCACCGATAATTGGAATATGCAGAAAAAAATATGAAACGTAAACATTTTAATTTGAGATGTGAGTTAGCAAATCAAGGGGGAATGAATCCTGAATTCCAATGTCTTTTTTATTATTTAGAGTATTTGAGGAATATTGGTGACTATTTCACGAAAAATAGGAGTTTCCAACAATTTCCCAGGCTGCAATTCTATTATGAATGATAATCAAGTCAATTATTGAGGACAAATGATAATTATTCATTCATTTATTTTCAAAAATTGGAATTGCACGAATTTTCTTCCCCTCTGAATCAAATGGGAAATAGTCTTGCCACTACTTAATGCAGTGGTCGAATGGTCACAAAAATTAAAATAAATTGTTGGAAAAATATTGAGTTGTTCTTGAGATAAGGATTTTCCATCTTTTAATTTGTTTTCCTAGAGTACCTCGTGCTGGAGCAGGTTTGTGTGGCTGCCCTGGACTGCTATCGCCTCCCCCTCGCGGAGTACTGCATTAAAATCCTGATGAGAGACTTCCCAGGGAGCCTCAGAGTGCACAAGTACCACGCGATGCACTTGGAAGCTTTGGAAATGTAGGTTTCACGACGAAAAGCTTTCATTTTCTCGATCATCATGGATATTTTTCGGAATATCTCTTAATCCATGAGGTCTAGAGAAAAATAACAGAGAACCTTTTTTGTAGCCCTGGAAATTCCCCACATAAAAGTTCTTCTGTAATTTTTCTCTAAACCTTCTAGTTTCAAAGATATTTGCAAAATCATTTTCGGGAAATTCTCTGAATCGTGATTTTTGTTTTTTACCAAAAATGTTGACTTTCTCGTTTGAATTGGGGATTCCCTCAGGTACACAGAAGCCCAGGAGGTTCTGGACTCCATAGTGAAGCGTGATGAGACAAACGCAGCCCCCAGGAAGAGGAAGGTTGCCATTCTAAAGGCAAGAGGGAAAACAGCTGAAGCCATCAAGGAGCTCACTGATTATCTCAAGATGTGAGTGAATATTTCCCACGAAAAATCAGGCGTTAACGATAATCACTCGATGATTGACTTGTTCAGGTTCATGAGTGATCAAGAAGCCTGGCACGAGCTCTGTGACCTCTACCTGCAGGAGCAGGAGTACTCGAAGGCTGCATTCTGCATGGAGGAGCTGATCCTCCACAATCCCCACAGCCACTTGATTTTCCAGAGATACGCAGAGATCAAGTATTCGCATGGGGGATTCGAGAACATGGAAATTGCTAAATCCTACTTCGCTCAAGCTGCCAAGCTGAATCCCAACAATATACGAGCACTTTATGGATTATTATTGGTAATTATTTTAAATAGAAATAAATTATTCATAATTTTTAATTAATTGGGCTGAAATTTCCATTTTCCACTGATTTTTAAATTTCAAACGATGAAATTCCTTGGAATTTCAGCCAAAATTTACCATTAAAATGATAATTTTCTTTTTATTACCATCAGACTGCTAACAACATCGCCTCATCCCCAAAATGTCCAGCCTCAAAGAAACGAGAGGCCACAAAAACGAGTGAATGGGCATCAGCACAGATAGAGAAGCAGTACAAAGCGAAATCAGCTGATGAAAATAGTTTAAAAAATGTCGAGGGTCTGCTCAGCCAACTGCAACTCGATGCCTGAGATGCCACCCTAGTCTAGCCTCAATTTGTATCTTTTTAAAAATCCAAACGATAAATTCATCAATAGTTAGTGATTTGTATATTTGTTCAAATAATTGTAATATATGTGTAAATGCCATATTCACGTGCATCACTGGTTATGCACGAATATCTCGACGAGGAAATTGAAATGTTCCTCTCTGGAATAATGTATCAAAGAGAATCAATAGTGAAGTGATCCATAAATTAGTTCAGAATCAATTTCACTCGGATTATTTCGTGAATATCTCAGAATCTGTTGAGTTCAGAGAGAAACGACATTCCCCTCTAGACTCACCAGTTCCCGAGACATTCTCCAACTTCTTCACAACTTTGTTACGAAAAATTAGATAATTGACGTCATTTTAAATGCTTGGGAAGACAACTGTCGTCACATTCCTGAAAAGTAAATTATCACGATATTTTAATAGAAGAGAAGAAAATGTATCCATTGTAGAAATGTCTACGATTATTTATTGAAATACGTTGATTATATTTCTAAGATAATTCGTTCATTCTGAAATGGAAAAAAAAATGTTGACTGTGTGACTTCGAGAGAAGTCGAAAAATCGTTGTAACTCACCCTGAGATAAGTTACAGAATGCAAGTGAAGTGAATTATGCAATTAAATGTTTGTTATCATCATGAAAACAGCTGGAGTCATCTCTCTGTGCTCTCACGAGACCTCCTCTCCCACTCTGCTTTGTTCTGGGCCCTCTCTGCTGCCTTTTTCATCCTTTTTTCCCTCCTGGACTCGTCCCTGAGGGCGAAGTACATCTCCCTGAAGTCGAGGATGTTCATTGTGCTGACTACGTCGTTCTCCTGGGGCTCACGAAGCTTTGTGTACGTCAATAATCTTCTCGATGCGTGATTACTCATTATCTGCTCGGAATTGGCTATCATTTTTAGGCAGGGGTGGGTGGGGAGCTGATCCTCACAGTAATATTCCCTAAAAAATATTTTTTAATTTTTTTTGTGCAATTTGTCACGTGAATTCGGTCGGAATAAATTTTAACTCTTGAATTGATTTAGATTTTTGCGAATACTTCGGAAAGCATTGGGTTTACAGGAAAATGTCAAATATACTTTTTGTAGGAAATTAAATTCTACAGGAAAAATGTCTTTTGTCGTTTTTCTCTACACCTCGTGGTTTCAGAGATACGAGTAAAATAAGAACTATTGTTATTGAAATTTTGTTTTTCCTGCACTTGAAATTGAGTTAATTGGGAGAACTTTTGGGAAATAATGATTTACCTATAGACTGGAAACCAACAGACTAATTTTCCATTGATCTCCAGATGCCTAGCAGCGAATTTCATGATGTCTTTGTACATGTGAGGTAAATTGTAGTCTATTTTCGATGGAATGTGAGCTGCTGCCTGGGTTTCGTCAATAGTAGGATTTGGTTTCGATGTTCCGATGCGTTCAGTGGCCTCTCTAACACCATACGGCGCTGTAAAAACGAGAGTTAATACTGCTGATTGATTTTTATTTGGAAATAATTATTCTGAAATTTAAAAAAAAATGAGAAAAAAAATGTTTTCTCGAAAAAAAAGGTTTAAAAATGTTTAAAAAATTGCTGAAAGTATAATTATTACGTACGATCTGTAATAATTGCGTTGACCCGCATGTCGGACCTCCAGAGGGGCTGGGAAAAATCGGAAACAACGACGTCTAGGTAATAAGCTTCTTTCCCATACTGTTTTACGTTTGCAGCAACACTCTCGTCACTGCTCCTCTTCTATTAATCAAAACCACGAATAAATAACTCAATTAATTAATTGAAACAATGTTAAATTATGTTAATAAATAATGAATGATGATTAATAAATAGTGAATGATCGATAAAAAAAATTGAGCAATTAAATGAATGAATTGGGCTTCATGTAAATACTTTCTGCGTTATCCTGGTGGGTCTCGTTCTGGCGTGAAGCATCATGAAGTCGATGTCAGTCCCCAGGATGTACCCGTCGAACAGTGCAGCAGCCACCAGCAGGGATCCAGTCCCCACGAAAGGATCCAACACGATATCCCCACTTTTAACTTGAGCCTGATTCGCCATGAGAAGGGATAACTGGGGATCCATCGACGTAGTCCCAATGAATTTTCTCGTCTTCAGGGATAATTTTTGGATTAACTCTCTCTGGCCTGTTGCAACCTGCAAGCAAAATTCAATTGAATGAATTCAAATTGTTTAAAATGTCGATATATTTCAAATTGAGTTCATTATTATTCAATTTAAATGGGAATGATGATGAATTTTCAGCGATAGGTCTGAAATTTCCAGAGATTTGTTTCTCTGGAAATCCCACTAGTGTTTTATAAAAAAATAATGAATAAGGAATTAATTATTGAAATTTAATTTACCAGTCTTCCAAAGAACAATTCCTCAGGGTTTTCGGTATGGGCATCAGGTTTCATCCCATAATACTCCATGTAATAGAAGCTGACGTCAGGGTTGTTGAGCCTGACTTGCCCCTCGATTTGAAGGTAATTGAACGACTGGAAATGAATTGCATTTTTTTTCAATCCAGTCGAGGAGTGTCTCCTTTTGTTATTTTTACCTCAATTTTTTCAATCTTCTCGCTCTGACTGATGTGTTTGCAGAACGTCTCGACGACGATCCTGAAGGTTCTGTCCTTCCTGGCGTGTTTATCCCACCTCTGCCTGGGAATTTTTCTCAATGCAGCATGCACTGAGGTAAAGTCTCTCTCCCTGACGTACAATTCTATGCAGTAACGCAGGGAAACTGCTCGACTCGCTATCGTCTGGATTGTCGATTCTTTCTGGCATTCGACGATCCAATAAGGCTGCAAAAAACATATGAAGATTAATTAAATTAATTAACTGGATTTTTCTGAAGAATTTGTTTCCAGTTTTCAAGGTTTTAACGACATTCTTTTAATTTAATTACTAATTACAGCAGAAAATCGATGAGTATTTCTGGAAATCACCTTAATCACTGAATAAATAGACTCACCTTATCATCAAACCTCTCGATGGCCTTGAAATCCTCGGAGGAAATTCCGAATAAACTCAGGATTGAGTCGATCTCCTGGAAAAATCACTCAATTGAAGTTTAAAAAATCTGGAAACCCTGAAAACAATTATTCCCAGGGTTTTTCGTACTCACAGCCCCTCGAAAGTCCACGTGTTCATGTGCAAACCACAGTAAATACATCCTAGAGGGCTCATTCATGATTTCTTCCTCGATTCGATCAAGTAATTCAGAAAATAAACAACAACAATTCAGCCTCATTCAACCGAAATTTATTTGTCAGCTGCACGTGGGCCTCCCCAACCGTCTGCTCACCAATCTCTATTTATTTCTCTGGTAGATGGAGCGTGAGGCGGATTCCAGGGGAGTTTCCTGCTGGGAACTGGTAAAAATCGTGGCGAATCCATCGCAGGCTTTTCTAATTCTGCAATTATCTCGATAACGAGTCGTTCTATTAAAAAAAATCATAAGACATTTTTTATAGATAATTTCATTTTCTACAAAAAAGGTTCTGTGATCTTTTCTCCTAAAACCACTCATTACCGAGATAATTTGACAATTAGAAAAATAATCACGAAATCCGACGATTTCGCATAAATTGGCAATTATCTCGGCGACGAGTGAGTTTACGAAAAAAAGTAATAAAACATTTTTTGTAGAGTATTAAATTCCCCACAAAAAAGTTATTTGAGGTTTTTCGATAGGGCGAACAGTTATCGAGATAATTGGACTCGAAGTTCACAGCTAACGATTTACATTTTATAGTCGTAATCATATGATTGCGGAATTATTGTTGACATAACCAAAATCAGATTGATCTTGTTCTATTTTTCTCTTCGTGAGTGACGTGCAGGTCCGAAATTAACTGTGAGTCCTCCTGATTACGTCGTTAATCCTTGGACGAAGGTTGAATGAATGGATAAGTGATTGTAATTGAATGAAATTGATTGAGAGAACAAACATGACAATATTGACGTGTGTCAGGGGCTGTTTGTTGATTCACTCGTTCTTTCTACTCGTTCTTTCCAGATTATTGTTGACAATGGGGTCGGGACGATAATTGGTTCGTTAATTACGAGAATTTCTGGGTGAAAATCAGGGGAAAATGGAGAAAATTGGGGAGAAAGGGAGGAGCTCTGGTGTTGTTGATGATGTAGTGACGTTTTTGGAGAAGGATTCCAGGGGTCTCCAGATATTCACGTATGGAGTCACTGGGATTGGGCTCATGACTGCTCTGTACAGGATAAGACCTGTGAGTCCAGTTTAAAAATTAATCAATTGATTTTAAATTAATAAGTCGATGAAAAATGATTGCATTCACGTAATTTTATGATTTCAGCTCGCCAAGTTCTCAAATCCAATGAGAGTTCCAGCCCACTTCATCAAGAAGCAGACAGTGCTTCGTGGGACAGCTGCAAGAATAGAGCCTGGCACAACATCACTGATTTTAGTCGATCATAAACCACTGGTCCCCCTCCCAAGACTTGGAAAGCCGAGATATTTACCGGTTAAAATAGCTGGAGTCGATGTTAACAGTCATGGTGAGCAGCCAAATTAATTCACCCCTTGATGACTCTTGAACTCTTTTTTTTCATTAAAAATTTAAACTCTAGAGTAAAATGAATAAAATGTTTTTTTAATATTTCGTCCTCTGAAATTTCAGGGGTCAGTTGGCTGTCGACAGTCGTCCAAGGTAATGCAGTAGAATTCATCCCAGTTCGAAAAACGAAAGACTTTTTAGATTGCACAGTAAAAATACCTCAGAAGGACCAGGTAAACATTAACTAAAAATAAAAATTAACAGTTAATTTTAATGAGGTAATTTTTCATATCAGTTGGCACAAACTTTTTTTGTTGGTAATTTAATTCTCTGCAAAGCCATTCTTCCATAATTTACCCCTAAAATCGCTCATTACGAAGATAATTACGAAATTAATAAGAAAAAGTGCTGAATTCTCCTGAGAAATAAATTTAAAAAATTATCCCTCGTTGAATAAAAATAATTCAGGAGCTCCTGGACGTTGGGAAAGAGCTGGTGAAGCTTGGCTTCGGCACAGTGGGTGAACTGTCCTCAATTCCGGAGGACAAGGTCTTGAAATCGTACAAAAAAGCTCTGGTGTCGGCTCAGAACTGGGCTAAATCGAAACGCAATGGCCAGTGGCACTTCCTCATCCCCCCGACCCTGTCCTGGCGCCTGAGGAATCTCCTCGAGGCCAAACTCCACCCGCGGACTTGACGAACAACGATCTTCCCACCGATACTGAGTTACTTAATGTTGAAGAAGAATTTTGTTGTTTCTACGGGGTTTCTGGCATTAACGAAGCTGAGAGCCTCCAATTTTCTCGATAATGCCGTTCGCCTGGTGCGAATTAGTCTCACTAAAATGAGTCTAATGTACTATTTAATTAGAAGAGATGAAGTGTCCAGATATTTTCGTAAAATTATGAAGAGGGATTGAATAAATTTATATAGAGATGAAACAGTTGCATTATTTTATTCATTATTATTGAATTTTTTTCCAGCAGCATATTAATTCCTAATGCTTCTTCAGGTTTCGAAAAATTCGAAGTCTTCCAGAGGTGTTCCCTCGTGGCCACCCATCTTTCTCGTGATTATTTTAGTAGCGCTATTTTATTTATTAATAAATTTTATTCACTTTGACAGAAATGCAATGTTGACAATTTTTATCGTTGCATTTCATTTATTTTATTAATTATAATTCTCTGAAATTTCGAGGAATTCTGTTATTGAAAATTCAATATTTCATGGACAAATCAGTGGAAACTGAAAATATTAGTTCAATTATTCCACGAAAAAAAACAGAAATCTGGAAAATTCAGTGTCATTTGGCACTAAATATTCGCGTTTTAATTGAAAATTCAAGTAAGTTGCGGAAATTAATTAATTTCCTTGATTTTTGAGAAAAATCTGAAATTTAATGGTTTTTCCCAATAAATTAAATCGCATTAACACGGGAGGACTCACTCTTCCGAAAATAATGACAGTTTTTATCGCAAAATAAAAATACTCCATCCATTAAAAAAAAAAAAACTGATTCTACGTAATTTTTCTTCAAGTTCACAAGATCAGAGAACACCGGGGCAAAAAGGGCTTTTGACTCTTTCCGAAATACCGGTGACTCATTAAATTGTCGCTGAAACCAGATAATTTTAATCGTTTCGATCGAGAAAGAAAAAAAATTCGAAACTTTGACTCTGATGGTAACGACGGCTTGAGTCAAGCTCGCGCGTGGCCCTCAAGATGGCGTCAGGCGTCCGCGCGGACTGCGCTACTCGGTCACTTCTCTCAGCAACAACTGTCACCAGTTGGACGCCAAGCACGTTTGCACTGCGAATAAAATGCGGAATAATCCGCTGGTGCTAAAAAACAATTCCCGAAATGCGAAAAAATCACTCCCGAAAGCCGTAGAGCGCGACAACAATCGATGAACAAACAAAACGCGAACGAAATTGTCCAGCGGCTGGGGGGTGTGTGTGCCGGAGGGAACGGCTCGCCGGTTCGCTCAGTCTACTGGAAGATTCCATTGTGAAAGGGTTCGAATGAGTTTTTGTTCTGTGAATTCAGTGTTTTCGTCCTGTTCCAACATCGTCAGCGGCGTTTGGCGGACATATCAAGGTACTTGAACACTTCTACTAACCGACAATAAAGAAATAACGGGAAATTAAACCGGGGGAGGGATTTTGTGGGCACAATTGAGGCGCAAGGTGACGGGGAGAAGCATACACCTCTGTCCTTCTCTCCACGGTTCAGCTGGGTTCGTCAGCTGATGAGAGTCACCTCCAGCCGACCGGTTTGATTTCCTTTGGCTGTTGTATATTTTTTTTATTTCTCATTTTTCGCTAATTATTGGAATTACGAGGTTTTCCTGGCATTGAAAAATCGAAAAAAATGCGAGGAGCGGGGCGAGGGGAATCGTTGGGCAAGTGTTCCACTTATTATTCATTTATTCGTTTGTTTATTTATTTGATGGATGAATGGAGAAAAGTGGAACACAAATTTTGCTCGGGGGAGAGGGGAATAATAGTGCAAGTGTCCCACTTTTCTTTGTTCAGTTATCTGGTTATTCAATAGATGAATGGGTCGGGATTTTTTCTGGGAATTGGGGGATGTATTCAGTTTTTGGAAAAGGTTATTCAATTTTGAATATTTGTCACTGCAGTAATGCCACTGTTGCGAGAAGGAAGTTTTAGATTTTTTTTCGAGTTTGAGTTTATTATTGATTAGGAGAATTTGTTAATGAATTGTTGACGTGGACGAATTGTCAGGAAACGTGAAAAATGGGAGAGTAGACAAAGAAATTGTAGGCAAAAATTATTCTCCCGAATTCTACAATTTGAGATCATTACTGAGTAATTTCCTTAATGATTTAAATGGGCTTATAATTAATTTTAAAAAAATTGAAAAAAATCAGGAATAGGCGGAGCGAAGTGGAAGGCTTTGTGATCCTTAAATCCTGATATTTTCATTTATAAACAAAGAATTTGGTAATTGGAGAAGATCACAAAATGTTCCATTTTGCCGCACCCTTTTCTTTTTGTCACAATATCATCGTCACTTGACTATTTAATAAAATTTACCATTATTATTTTACTTAATAAAATAATCCCAGTATCTTTTGTACAACAGAATTTACAGTCACTAAAACGTTTCAATATCAATATCGAAATTCTGAAAATTCGTCTGGGGGATTTAGAAAAAAAAAGATGAAAATATGAAAATTTTGCCTCATTCCATTGATCATGATTGATCCTATTCCTTCAAATCTCCATTTTTGCCGCATCTTTCTAAAAGTAGTTTCATCTCGAAATTATCCCCACCCTCAACAACTCGCGTGAGTCGCCTTTCACATGTACTGGGCACGATGCAGGAGGGAAGAGATCTTTTCTCCTTAATCTAACGTGTTATACTTCGGTATCTCTCGGCGTAAACCGTGGACCCCTCCTTCTCTTGCCATCGCCCAAGCAAAATAACACGGGAGTGTATAGGATAGGATATCCTTTATTGTTCGTGTGAAGCCGTCAGTAGGCCATAGTGGGCATGTGATTGTCCCGTGTGACTTCAGAACCGTTTGGGGTTAGCGAACCTGTATCAGAAATCGTCAAACAGCACAACCGTTTGCACTTTTCCTTACGTATGAGCGAGTCCACCAAATATCAGCACAAATTTTTACTGTTAGAATTTTTTCGAATTTTCTATAAAACCAAAGAATTTTCTGAACAGTTTTCCTGGAAAACAGAATTTTTTTTTCGAAAACTGGAGAATTTTTTTGAATTGTTTAGAAAACCCGAGAATTTCCTGGAATTTCCTGTATAAACAATCAATTTTCTCGAAGTTGCTATAAAACCCAAGAATATCCTCTGTAGAACTTGAAAAAATATTCTCGACAATTTGAGAATATCCTAGAATTTTACAGAAAGTCTGAGAATTTTCCAGAAAGCTCTAGAATTTTCTAGACGTTTCTACAGTGCATCCTAAACCATGAACTTATAGCCTAAAGTCAATTGAGGACCCCAAACCATGTAATAGTAAAATTGCCATTGAAATCCATTCAGTCGTTTTTGCGTGAATAAGGATCCCGTTGGGATTGCAATAATTAACCAACATTTTTCTAAAAGCGTCCAAATTTCCCAAAAAATCGCCCCTCAATCACCTCACCTTCAGACATCAAAATGAACCCTAAATTAATCATGCCTCCCACCCACCGAAGACAGTCGTAGTAAACTGTCATTTTGTTTCCCGAAATTTCAGAAGACGTTCACTGCAATAGTGGAAAGCAACAGACATGTACGAGGACCAAAAAAGTTCGTCAGGGAGTGGCGCCTCGACAAACTGCGATGAAGCAGAAATAGTTAATAGATTCTTGGCACCCTTGTGTGCACGGGATGAGACCGCGAGAAATATTGCCCTTGCTGCAGCTCGCACAATTGTCGAAGGATGGCTGGGTAGTATGTCAGGTCCGAATCAGTGGAGGGATGTGGGGGACACGGAAAATACGAGTGAAGAGCAGACAGGAAAGTTCAGAAGCCAGAACGGCAGGTGAGTTTTACCCTATTCCACATTCCTCTTTCCTCCAAAACTTTTCCGATGGTTTTACTGAGCCCAACCATCCAAACGAATGAATGAATGTTTTCTTCTGCTGAAAAAACATTCTTCCTGGGGTGGGGACGGGATTTAACGTCGACGTAAATGAAAGCCCTGAAACTTAATAACTTGAGAATAAGCAAACAAATGGCTCAAAATCCAGTGCCATTCTGTTGACCTCTGTGGGAGGTCTTTTGTCGATTGAAAATCTGGTGACGAACGCTTCCTTTCGTAGGTATGACATGAACATTGAGCGATCACCAACCAAAGCTACCCCTAAGCATCGATCAACATACCACCCTCATTTGCGCGATACTTTCCGAACTGAGGGCTTCTTCCCACAAAGTGTAACTGATCACAGCACCCTTCTTGGTGACCGTAGACTCGATAGCATAGAGGGATATAGTGTTGATAACGAGGCGTCGAATTTCAGTTCACCAAAGAACACATGGAACCGTAGTGACGTTGAGCCCGTTGTCGACAATTTCGGTAATGCAACATCCTTAGACGAGGGTGCCGGACTATTTATCGTTAACCGCACCGACAAATGTAACGTAGAACGAGATTCGCGCTTTGGCTCAAGCAGTGAGAGTGAGCACAGGGTGTTTGATCTCTCGTCGAGCGAAAAATCAAATAAGTCATATCAGGAGGAGTCGAGGCATCGACTTGGTAGAATGAAGGGAGGGAGACACAAGCAGGAAGACGATGACCCAGACCCAGACGATCGAATATACGGCAAGAGTCCAAAGTTCGATGAGAATTTTGGTCACCTCGAAACGAGTTATGGGAGTCATTTCCTCGGCCGCGAAAAAGGTTCTTTCGTGGGATCGGGGGGTGCTGGGGCACTGGAGGCCGACACCTCCAGACAATCTCGTAATCAGGAAGGAGTTGTCTTCAATACGCTGGAAGGTTTCGATAATGAGTGCAAGATACCAGGGCAGGAAGACGAAGTCCTAGAAAACATGAATCTGGAGAATTTTGATCAGCCCCCATGGGATTCTGCTTTCCCATTCCACTTGCCTTCGCGCACCATTGAGGACCGGGAATTCAGTGGTGGTGAGGTGACAGGTCCCCTCTTTCGAGAGGGGGAAACCTCCTCAAAAAGCGATCGGATCCTGGAGGGTCCTGACGTAACCCCCGGCGAAGTCGGAAGAATGCTAAATCTGGGTGACGCCCTGGACGGGCCTCGGTCACAGACTCGATCCAACAAATACCTGAGTCTCGTGATGCTGCACCTCCCAGTGATCCTTCGACTCAGCGTCAATTGCCCTTTCCAAAATGTTAGAGTCAAGTGTGCTGAGATCCTGCATATGGTCAAGGTGAGTCGGTTTAATGATTTTACTCGCTCACTTCTCTCTTCTTCTATCCACTTGCTTTGTACTGGATTATGAAGGATGATCACAGATAGATATACCTCTGATCAATCTTCAACCTGATTTTTAATGAAAAAATGACTTCTCGGTGACCGCCCCTACGAAGTGATGGAACAGATGATCCAGAATTTTGTAGGGGTGTAAAAAAAAGTTGTTCCTTCATTTCTAACATTGTCAAAAGATTGATCGCCCGACGTGGGGCTCGAACCCACGACCCTGAGATTAAGAGTCTCATGCTCTACCGACTGAGCTAGCCAGGCTTGAGGTAGCCGGGCTACTTTCTTACTATTCTGCGCCGTGGCTCTGAAAAAAAATACCCATTTCATACAGAGACATGGCGAACTGTGAAACTATGAAACCACGATGATCCAATTTTTGTAAAAAATTGCAGGACAGAGGACTTCCGGTACCTGAGCCCGCATTCAGTGGACCAAGTGCTTTCATACCAGCATCAGAGGTGAGTCACAACTATATTTATTCCATAGATAACTTTCCGAATTCTACTCTACGTCAAATTCTATTCGGGTACCGCGTATGAAGAGAGAAGCTTTGCTACCGTCTAATAACGTAAATTCACGGCCAATTCGGTACAGATATCCGACATTTAATACGTATGTAGAAAATTACATTCACTTTTCCGTCCGGGGAAACCTGTAAACTTTCGATGCCATTCTCTGCTTCCGAGTCCCTTCGCAGTTTCGAATTCAGCTTAATCAGCGGTAATTAGTTACTATCATCATAAAGTATTATATCATACTGAAGGTGGAAACCGACTGACCGACCGTTATATAGTTCCCTGTATTGGCAACCGATGCGAGCCGGCAGCTAGCTCCGCGCAGCTGTTGCCTGCGAAGGCTAGTCTCTACATTGCCTTTAGCTTCTCTGCAAGGATTTAATGCAGACATCTGTTTTGCCGAAACTGATCGTGATGTTTGGCTCAAGCATATCCATGTATCGAAACATAGAAAACAGTAAATAAGCAAGACGTGAAATTCATCAGTTAGCTCTGAATTTTAGTAAGATTTAGTAAGAGGCAAGATTTATGAACAAGTCCTATGAATCTCGGGTGTTAATACGCTTGTTATCAACAATATTCGACAAATTGTCCCCTTCGAAAGCAATAGTCTACTGATAGAAATGATTAGTTATTCTTAACGAATGGATTTGGTTGGAGATGAGGGTCTATTTGACTCGATTTTCACTTATCAGAAGAACCATTCGTTAACCATTAACGCGTATTCATTTGGTCATATTCAACTCTACCATTCGCTAATAGTTAACGAATCTCGTTTGGAATAAATGAATCAGTCTATCAGTGTAGTGTTTAGGACACACGGACAAATAAGAATGATCGCCTCAACATTCTATCCTGAATACGAACTTTGGGATTTCTCGGAGCTCCACGCGAGAGAGCCCTTTCTTGCCCAACTAGTCACCTGTTCACATATTCATGCCTCGTTTTCGGGTACTAATACCGCAGCAACGTCTCCACTGCATTTCGAAAATATATCGTCAGAGTAACGATTCCCAGGTGTCTTCTCAAAAGGACACCATAGAGTGCTATCTGCCATTATCTATCACCCTCCCTTGAATTTTTAAATTATTCATCACTGAGACCCGATCGCTGTTGGAATTCGGTGTATACACGGAGAGAAAAATACATTGAAAAGTGTAGAGAACTTTCCTTATAAATTAGTGTATTTCATCAATGAGAAAAAAGAACGGTGTTCACTCAGTTTTTCGAAGAGTCACATAAGAAACTACGGAAAACGCACGAAAAATTGGTGCACGACTCGCAAATATTAGTGTACCACGTGAATTTTGCCTTCGGTACGTCTCACGCTTTGGTGGGAAGGTCCACCAATTTTTGAGGAAATTTTTCTCTCCGTGTATACTAGGGCGGAAATAAATTCATAGGAAGTATAAAATAAGAATTGCAATTCTTCTTCCGGCGAAGAACTCCCACCCCCTTTGCACCGCAAAATCTGACAGAAAGGATTACAATGTAAACTTAGGGAGTGCAGCAAGTCGAGATAAATTCCACTCACGAGAATTTCATGCCGCAAGCAGTAGGGCTCCCAACTACGTAGGGACTTGTTAACAATTTATAACCGCATTCCTGTCCAACCTGTGAATAACAAGAGCGAGTGCATTTACAAGGAGCATCCTCGATTAGACAAAGTAATTACGTAATAGAGATGACGATGGTGCGTTCAAGTATTTCTGATTGAAGTAATTGGACGCTGCGATTGCCAGAGACTTTAAGAATGAGTTTCTATTCGAGTAGAGTAGAATTCGATGCGCCCGATTATCGTTTAGTGTTCGTTACTTTCTTATTAAAGCTCTACCGAGGGCAAATTTTACCTTGAAATGTAAATTGAGTGATGTAACCGAATGAAGAGGAGTCCACAAGAAGATCCGAATGCAAGGTAAGTAAAGAATATTTTTCTCAAATGACGTACCCTCTTTTTTTATTTGTTCGGCAATTCTGGGGAAAGACTAGTGTAGTATATACCCGGTACTAACGGAGCCCTTCGATAATATAATAAAATGCAAGACGCAACAGCAGCGAGTAAATTGACCCGCGTTCAGAAATAGTATCTGATAACAGATGATCCAAATTAAAAATGACTGATCAACCAAATCGTGAATCCTTCACCGTTCGTTTGGGTCTTTATGTCATAAAAATATTTCATCCTGACTAGATATATTTAAAATTTCATGGTAGACGCTCTCCAGATCGTCTACCAAGGGACGTCACAGAGGGATATATACCCACTTATATCGATTCACCATACGTACCTAAGATAGACTGCAATTTGCTGTCGATATACCGAAGGGGGATGCGATGAGACGCGCCAAGTTGGAAATCGATGTCACGGATTTTGTGTTCCATGCGCGATAATGGTTTACCAGTATTCAATTGTGTTGAACATGGAATGTTTCTGGCCGGGTGGGGTAGTAGAGGAAAGCGAGGAAATGTGGTACGTAAATTCCATGGAGAAGTCAAGTGAAACCGTATGCTATCCTCGGAATAGGATAAGAGAGGGAGGGGCAGTGGGGGTGATGCACACATCAGGGGCAGTCGTTTATTCGTGGCTTTTGCCTTGCCAGAAAAGCACCCATGACTTATGGGCACGTTGTCGTAATGATACTCGGCGTATACCGTTGGTTGGTTCAAGTGATGGAGAAAGGAGAGAGGAGACAGTGCTTTCGAGGAAAATGAAATGACTTGGTTTTTTTTTTTCTTATCCATTGTAATCGCGAAGGGGGAGAATATATAAGAGAAAGGATAAAGGAAGAATTGCCGGGAAAACTGGAGAAGATGCATATATTCAGACGAGTGAGCACATTCCACAGTAGGTTCAGTAGGTAGAGTAGGTATAGGTGGAGGAATTTCATCACTGATCGATTACCCATTATTCAAATGGAGAATGGGACGAGTCGAGTACTATTCCATGTATAATCTATACGTGTACTTTTTTTTGAGCGAGTATCAATTTCATGCGATCTCTACTTCACAAGTGTGTTGCAGGATGTGTTCTTTTTTTAGCAATTCCTCAGTGCCTCCCCCACTTTGTTTGATATTCTCACACTTTTCATCGCTGGTACAGCACACTGCTCCATCTGATTGTGATACACAATTCGTGTTTGTTCACCAAAAGCGCTTGTTTCCAATTTCATTTCCCTAGGATTTTACGCAGTTCAACAAACTGATCGAAACGGCCCTCGACTGTTACTGGGTGCAATCATTTTTTTTTTCCTTCCACTTGTACTTGCTCACTGCATCATACACCGTGATGCAAAATAAACAAATTTCATGGTTACAGGATTGCGGGAGATTGGAAAAAAGTGTGGGAGTCTGGGAGGCTTTTTTTTTTCTTTTTTGGAATTGGAATTACATCGGACGTTGCATCTATCAATAAAAATGTAAAAATGAAGCGGAACGAGAAAAAAATCCACATTCATCGGGATCAGACACGCGTAGCATTCGAATTAGCGGCGTAAACTTGACGTTGATATGGTTGAGAGCTTCTGGTGTGACATATATTCGTTGACAGCTCTATTATGCGATACGCCACGTTCATTTGCATAGAGGGTAGAGATGTCTGTCAATGCGCGATACTGAGTTAAAACGGATGGATCACGATTTTCAATTTTAATCCATAATTTTTTACTTTCTGAGACCTTCGCCGAAATCGTCCGAGACTAATCGTTGACCCTTGGCATTACTCCTCCGCTCTACATCAGATAAATTAGTTGACTAGTGCATGAGAGAATGTCGAGAGCACTGAACCTCTCGGTCAGATTTGCAAATAAAAGTTACAAAGATAAATCCTCGGAAAGAACTCCGGACTTTCCAATTTATCATTCGGTTTATCCAACTTCCAGCTTTCAATACATTTTTATCTTCTTACTCTCTGTTATTCCGGTAACCACGGACACCTGGATTATTCCTCTCATTCTAAGCGTAACCTCGCGCAGAATATCCCCCCCCCCTCCGATCTCCTCTGCCGGTGGAATTCGTCAAAGAGTTTCCTGGAGCAAAGTTTTTCATCCTGGGCTTGGAAACCGACGAAACCACTCTGCCGGTTAATATAAACCTCAAGTGCGCTTGGAATACGTAATATCTTGTGCTCACGACCATGAGTACAGTACAGAGGAAGAGAGATACCGTGTTTCCGTCCTCAGTTCTAGGGTTGGACAACGTATATACTCGATCTTGAATACGAGACACAGTGAGTTTTGATGCCATTTCTATCCTTCAAACCCCCCGACTTTACCTCCAATACGTGATGCTGTACTTGTGGTATAAATTTAGTATTTGCATGTCTTCCTGTGGTTCTGGGGTATTTGTCTGTATCCGCTTGGAAACGTGATCAAGAACTGTTAGAACGGGATATCCGTAATTCCATTCTCACCGAATTTTCATCAGTGTCAATTCAACCATCGGCGAATGGGCTCGAGTGGAAATCTACTGGAAATTCAGATACTGCCGGCTCGTATTATCAATCCAAATGATCAGCAAACTGTCAATGACAATGTGTGAAGATTATACTGTGTGGGGAAACAGTCGAGGAGTTGGTGAGCTGCCTAGGGAGGAGAGAGTTTGAATTTCCCGTAGGAAATGCATCAAGTGATGTGTGGCAAAGTGACATTTACCCTGTCGCAGTGGTGTCTTATCTAATCATATTCGAGGATTCTGGATGCTCCTGTCTCTCGGGAATCGTTAAATTCCAGGTGTCAGTGGAAATACAGCTGACGGATCTCAAACTGAAACTTGATATCCATCCAAAAGTGTCGTAAATACGAGATATCGAGCTGTTTTGTCTTCAGCGGTGGTGATGAATATACTCCCAAGCCTTCAATTTAGCTTCGTCGTTCCGTTTTTGCGGGATTATTGAAGCTCCTACGATTCTACAACTGAAGACTCGAGCTGATGACAATTCATGAAAT